TAGGGTTTAGGGATTAGGGTATACATGGGGAGTTCCCAAAAGTAGGGATGCCTTTTGCGGGGTTCCCATGATAAGGATTATGGTATCTTTGAGTCTATATTGGGGTCCCCCTATTTAGGGAAACTGCCATAGGCACTTGCACATTTTGGGGTTCCTATAACATCCTGTAACGGTACCCTACAAAAGCGTAGACTGTTGTTGGCTCATTTGGAGGGTCAGAGGAATTAAGTAAGTAGGTGAATAGGCGGGATAACTAGGGCTCCTATATGGGTTATAGGGGCTGTTAAGCTACTTACTAAGTCCGGCCCTGACGCTAAACGCTAAGCCCAAAACCTTAAGCCCTAAACCTTAAAAGGAGGGTAGGGGCTCGCAATTGGATGGTTTTTGTCACAGTTCGATAGGATTCGGGGCTCTGAGGTCGCGCGCTTTCATGCTGCTGGGTTGCTGCAAAGGAACTTAGATTGGATTACCCTAACGTGGGTATATTGGGTTTAGAATTTGAGGTACCGTAAAATGGGTACGTAGGGTTTAGGGCTTAAGCTGCCATGATATGGGTAGAAAGGGTTTAGGGTCTAAGTCGCCAGAATGTAGGTAGATCGTAGATATAGGCCCTCCTTGTCATAGTAATTTGATTTATGTTCCTTTATAGGATCAACCCAGCTTGATGCTTCAGTCTGTTGTTGACTTTGGCATTAGTTCCACGAGTTTTGAGGTGGGGGGGGGGGTAGCTTACAGTGCAACATGAGCTTTTCCGTTTAATGTACAAACCTTAAACCTTTACCCAATCCCTCAACCCTGAAACCCTGCCCCACTGGTTTCGGGACTTTGGCCCTCTGCCAGGGCGCGAGTGGATACAATCCCATGCGAGGCGAGGCAGTCATCGACTTTGCCAATGGGCCACTTTGCTGTGTTTAGGGTTTAGGGTTTAGGGTTTGGGGTCTTGAGAGTCTAGGAGACGTTAGGTCTGGGGGTTTCAGGTGTAGCGGTTTAGGATATGTACAACGCATGCATGCATGCATGCATGCATGCATGCATGCATGCATGCAGAGATGAGCCGTACGCATCCTGATTCCGACTTGCATGTCTTGTGAATGTCCTTTCCCTTTTTGACTAGTCCCCTCATCCATAAAGGTGTTGCACAAGGAAAATGCTCAATACAGAGAAGTCTAGGTTTATTAGTGGAGGAACTGCATAGAGTAGGAGCTTAGTGGAGCCACCAGGCCAAGCCCGAAGGCGCAACCACAGGATGCGGGCATGGCTACATTGCTCACATGCTCTTACCTGGGCTTAGGGTTTAGCGTTTAACTTGGGTATTGTAAGCCCCCCAAATATGGGCCAGAGGGTTAACCTTAGCAAAGCCCAGATATTTGACACTTAAGCCTGCATCCTTTTCAAAGGATGCCCCCAACGCGGGACAGAAAATATATACGTCTGAAATATAGATAGATATGACTTTCCCCCCGCTTCCACAGGGACCCAAATCAGGAATTACAGTCAAGCTGTCCGAGTTTCAGTGAAAGGCAAAATCACTGCACTGTCCTAATAACCTCTACTTGGGGGATCAGGGGCACCTAGCAAGTAGGCTAAGGGGGATAACTACGTTACTATATGGCAATGGGTTATAGGGGTTATTAACCTACTTACTGCGTCCCCCTGACCCTCCAAGTAGCAATCTTCTTTGATCCTGATCCTGAGAGAAGGCGCAGGCTTCCCCACAAGTGATCCACAGCCGTCAGACCTTTCCTGAGTCCCCGCGCACACTTGGGCCCTGGGGGCCCTCGCTATATTTCCAAGTAGATTATATAACATCCTGATTGCAGCAGCCTATCAACAGAAATCTTTCAATATTTTGGAAGCCTCCCTCGAGGCTCCTAGACGAGATTGCACCGCTTGTCCACTTGGCTGCAGTTTCATGGTTTTGGGCTTGCAAATGACTTGCAGAGAGCCTCAGGAAGCAGTTTTTTGGACGGGTTCTTTTTGTTGGCCTCTCTGACGGCTGCTTGAGCATTTGACGTCAGCCTCGCACTCAGTAATAGTGAGTATAAGGGATAACAGGGATTATATTAGGGTCCTCTCATATTCTTATTATACCACTATTACAGGGTGGGGGGTCCTCCTAACGTATGATGATACCACCTTAACAATATGACAGCTCAGGTCCAGGGCAAGTGGGGCGATGTCTGCCGTTTGTGGCCGAAATTTGTGGGCTCCGTGCAGCGCTTCTGGGCCTCAGCTCAGAGGGTTTAGGTTTTAAAGGGATTAAGGTCAACAAGATTGGGGTTTTGGGGTTTGGGGGGTTTAGAGGTTTTGGGCTTCGGGATTTGGTTTTATAGCGGTTAGGGTCAATAAGTTTGGGGTTTGGGGGTTTTGGGGTTTGGGGGGTTTAGAGGTTTTGGGCTTAGGGATTTCTATGAAGGCTCTCTTAAGACTGGGGTATCCTGCGGCACCCCTTCAAAGGGGACAATATCCATATGTACACACAGAGCCTTTTATTTGTTCATTTGTTTATGAGGCTTGTGGCCTTCGGGACGTGGTCAGTTGTTTCTATGAATAGGCAGACCCCAAGACAGACCCAACCACCCCTAGGAGGATAAGGTTAGGGTTCAGGCTTGCGTGTTTAGGGCAGGATTCCGCTGGCGGGTACACATTCAAGCTTTACTACATGTTTAGGGAAATATCATTCATCCGGTATACTTGTATCCTTGCTGGCAACTCTCCATTCCAATCTTCACAGGGCTACCTCGAAGGACCATACACTGAAGACGCAGTTGAATGTTGTGAAGGTGGGGGTGCATAGGTGGATGCCCGCATCACGTTCTTTCCGAATTCCATTCAAAGATCAAGGTTAGCATTGAATGATGACAAGACAGGCATTAGCCCTGGGAAGCAGGAGAAGTTTGGATGCTTGGGTGCTTGCAAACAAGAGAGGAATGGGTTAGAGGGATGATAATTACTCAGATTTATCACGGGCTCCCCCGTTTTCCTGCTAGACGGCAGCCACAAGAGCCCGACCCTATACATCCTAAATAAGTAAACCAAACCACCTAGACCCTGATTCTCAAAACCCCAAAACTCCTTGACACCCCAATACCAAAGCCTGCGCACCCTAAATCCTAAACGTCCTCACCAGTGCATATCCTTACACGTAACCCTTTTGAAGTCCAAAGGGGCCCTACGTTCCTATACTGGGTTGCTGTTACGGAACTTGAAATTTTGTTATTACATTGGGGAAACCCTATTATTTACTATATACACCCATTATGGTAACTTAATTTAAGTTCCTTAACAGCAACCCAGTATAGGCCCTTTAAAGGTCCGCCTTTACAAGAGCTCAGGTTTGGAACTCCTCCTCCAGGACGGCACGACCACCGCTTTGAGGAGCTCCGGATGCGCGAATGGGGTTCAGGGTTTAGGGTTCAGGGTTCAGGGTTTAGGGTTTAGGCCCTAGATCCTAAACTTCTAAACCCTACACACTCAAAGGGTTTGGAGTTTAGGGTTTAGGGTTCAGAGTGATGGGGTGTTAAAGTCTTCCTTAGGGTTAACTCAAGTAGGGAATACGGGAATATAAACCCCAAAGCATAGATTCCCTTCCTCCAGACTAACCGCAGTAAGTTAACGGGCTTGAGGTGCATCTGTTGAGGGGAGGGGGGGGAGGTAAATCAGGGCATGGTGTGCGGGATTCTAGCATTGGGGAGCTCTATGTAATAGTGTTCTCTTGTTAGTGCTTTCGGGGTTTCCAAAGTAGCTTCGGCTATCATATCTGGGCTTCTTTAAAAACAAACCCAAAGCCCAAAACCTGAAACATTTCAACGTGTATCTAGGTCTGCTGCCCCAGGTTAAACATCCCTTACAGGCAAACGGCTTGGCACGGCTCGTTGGGACCATGTTGGTGCAGGTGTTGGTGCTGAGCAAACGTGTTTGCCTGCTAGAACTAAATCCAAAACCTTGGAGAGCTTGCCACGTGGTTTAGGGCTTAGGGTTTAGGATCCCTTCTCCCTTAGTCATGACCTTCCAACCGGCCGAATGCATACACTGTTTGAATGTTTCAGTTACAGCTTCAGTGAAGACATGTTGTCAGGAGCGCAGGCCTGATGCTGAAGATGAGGGGACAATAATCCCAATAGAACCCCGAATATCATGTGGAGCGCAATCTCTCGCCTCAGGGAGTCATATCGGGGCAAAAAATAGAATCACAAATATCATCCCATTTCCCTATACGTGAAACCCTAAACCCTAAACGTTTAGAGGTTTAGACACTTGTGCGATGCGCGTGTCTAAACCTCTAAACCCTCGGTTTCCCACTTGATCCTCCATTTTTGAGGGTAGGGGATGAGTAGCTCGAGTAGGTCCAAAGCAGTGCTGAGCCGAGGACCCCTTCTCTGTTCGTGGGCTCCCAGGGAAGCTCAGCTGCATTTTTGGTTTTGCTATAGGGTTTAGGGTTTAGGGCATTTGTTGCTTGGTGCTTGGTATGGAATACTTGGAGGGTCCGGAGCACTAGTAAGAATGGAAAAGGACATGGAAACTACTGTATTATCTAGGTTAGGGGTCAGGGAGACTTAGTAAGTAGAGCAATCATCCCTTTAACCCTTGTAGTAACCCTAGCTATCCCTCTGATTATCCTACCTATAGACTAAGTCCCCCTGACCTCCAAGCAGGGTCAGGGTTTGGACTTCAGTATGTAGGATCTCAATCCCTAAGCCCTAAGCCCTAATCCGTAAATCCCACTTCCCAAGCACCCTGCCTGCAGTGTATATTATTACACCCCACACCCTAACCCTAAACAGTACACCCTGACGTAAACTCTGAATCCTGCACACCAACCGCAAACTCCTAATCTCCCCTAAACCCTAAGCCCCAACCCCAAAACCCCAAGCACGAATCCCCAATCCTTAAATCCTAAACCCTATAGAATTCCTTACATAACCCCGTTTACTGAGTTTAGACACTGAACCCTAAACCCTACATAATCCCCCAACCTTTAGAGTTTCAGCCTTTTCCAGGTAACCTTGGCCCCCCGGATGCGGACGTGGTACGCCCTAAGGCTGCCTCCAGCCCTTCAGTGCCAGACCAGGCCTTTCCTGGATCAATGTTAGGGATCCTTTTTACTTTTTGGGGGTATGGGATTCTTTATATTTAGGAAAAACGGATCCTTTTTTCTCCCTAGCGGAATGTGGGCGGTAAGAATTTGGGGTCCGCCTTTTGAACTGGAATTTGGGGCTTAGGGAGTAGGGTTTGGGGACAGAGGTTTAGGATTTAGGGTTTAGAATTTCGGGCTGGGCTTAGGGAGTAGGGTTTGGGGATAGAGGTTTAGGATTGATGGTTTAGAATTTAGGGCTTAAGGATTAGATTTAATTAAGGGAATGAGGATTTACTTTTCAGGGTTCAGGGTATAAGGTCAACCCCGAAGTTTCTTAGGACTTTCAGGGTTTAGGGTTTGGGGTGTTCTGGGGGGAAGGTCTAGACGTTGGGGGCTAAGGTTTGTGGTCCCGCTGTGGGGGTTCAAGAGTCTTAGGGTTTAAGGTTTACTGCAGGTTCATGGATAACTGGCATTCTAGGTCCAGTAAGTCTAGCTATAAGTAAGGATCTCCCAAGTATCACCCTTTTCATACTTAATCTTGAACCTTCAAGAAGTGTTTATCACTCGCTTATGCTCTATTCCCTCATGAACATGACATGGGATCTACGCACGTTAGCGACCCAAAACTTTAAATCCCTAAACCCTAAACCCAAAACCCTACACCCAAAACCCTAAACCCCACCTTGCTAATTTCCAAATGCACAGCCATCTGGAGAGTACGCCTTTTCTCTGCACAGTTAGGAAGATTTCCTTGTCTGGCATCCTAAGTACTAGGTGCCGCATCCATAAAAACCCTACCCCCCTACTCTCAGATTACATTCTCCTAAACACTAAACCCTAAATTACATTCTCGCACTGCGAGCCCTGGGGCCAGGGACGCATCTTTCTGAAGCACAATGGCCTTCACATGAAGCTTGGACATTTAGGTTTGGGGGCTTGGGGTAAGGGCCTCAGGTTCAGGGCTACGTAAGGACAAGCCAAGCTGTTAGCAGGTAATCTCCGAAAGTCTCCTTGCAGTTGTAGCTCAGACTGGTGCTTCATAAGATGCCTGCCCCTAAGGGTCCAAGGACCCAATTAATAGGGCTTTAGGGCCCAAATACCATGAAGACTATAGCAGTTGGGCCCTCAAACCCTATTATTCGGGTCCTTGGACTTTTAGGGTACCACGAGCTTTAAAGAAGCCGTTGCCATGGATTTGGGACAAGGGGTAACCTACGAGTTGCTTTGAAGTCGTGAGGGGTGGCTACCTAAATATAACAAATTAGAATATACTATAACATGCTATAATATAATGTAGGGTCGCTGTTGAAGAACATAAAGAACAGGGGCCCTTTGTTAACTTTTAGGGGTCCTAAGTTCTTTGACCAAAAAACGAGACCTTTTTAGTTCACGCTTATTGGGGATCCTAGCCAACTAGGTTTTTTATTTGAGGAGGCCAGGCTATGTATTACGCATCTACATCATGTACCGAGGTTTCTGTGTACCAACCCAGGGTTTAGGGTTTAGGACCAACCCAGTAGAATAATAGTGTCATCCTCCGGAAGCCTGCCAACAGGCAAGCTGGCACAATCACGGTGAGATTGTTGGGAGGTTCGAACTTTTTCTGGTCGTTTTGCTTTTGCTGAGCCTTTTAGTTTGATGCCTCCCTTGAGTCTTGGTTGAATTGGATACGAGAAATGCGGACCATTTACAGGAGCTTCTTCTGAAGTATAGTCCGCCTTAAGTAGATAGAATATGGCTTTGGGTATATTAGAACAGGATCCCCATGTACCCTATATTCTTTCTACTTAAGGGGACTCTATTCGATACCATGTTTCCTTGCTGTGCACAAGCCACAACATCCACTGCGGCAATCCCAACTCCCCCTAAACTCTAAACCCTAGGGCTCCAGGGCTATAAATGACGTTTACGCGGGTCCTAGAGGCTATACACTTGATAATACCTAAATAGGGCCCTAAATCCTAAACCCTAAAGTCATAGATAGTAATTACCTACATGGAGCCTTGGGCTAGTTAGTGCAGCCCCTAGAGGCTATCAGGCGAGGCGGGAGGAAGAAGCTAAGGCTACTAGGATCTACTAAGGGTTAAGGGCTTAGGCCGGAGTTTGGGCGATAAAAGGTTTGAAGCAAAGTCCCGCAGCAGAAGACACAAGAAGGAATTACATCACTGGGAAGATCAAAGACTAGACCCCCCACAAATCGAGAATCACCCCTGCATGTAGTCGTCATGTATTCCCCACATTCATTCTTCTAGAGGATCTACACTAACCTTCAGTATCTTTGGCAGTCAGGGTATATTTCACAAAATTCTGAACAGGGCAGCCGTGAAACTCCGATTTAAAACAGGGCTTGGATTGACAGGGGTTTAGGTGGAGGAAGGAATTTGGGGTTTAGGGCTAAGGGTCCTCAGAAAGACTCCGTTTTCCTAAGTTGTGAATGCGTACGTAGTATAATCTGTGCATATCAAATGTAAATAAACTCTACAAGGAGTTAGAGCCTTGCAGTAGTCGCATCTCACATGCTTACCTTAATCCCTAAAGGCTATACCCTGACCCTTAACCCTAATCCCCAAGTCAGGCCAAGCGGGATGGAACCAAAATCCCCAGACCATCTATACCCTAGTCCCTACACCCTAAACCTCTATCCCGCCATAGCTGAGGATTCTCGAGATCGATCGAACGCACCCCATTGGCAAGGCAGCCTTGAGTGGTATCAAGGACTGCTGCCCCGGGCATCTCAAACCCCTAAACCCATAGTCCCTGTAATAAGCCCCTGAGCCTTACATCATAGCTTCCATTTTCTTTTCCTTAAATCCTGGTAATCCCTATATCCTCCTAAAAGGGTATGTAGAATCCCCTGAGCCCTAAACCCTAAACCCTAAACCAGCCTCTTTCATCCCTAGAGCCTTGTGAGCCCCAGGACATCACCACTGAGAGCGCTCTGACCGCCATTCTTGACATGGAGGATGCCTTGGGGGGCTCATGGCCCTTAGTCTATTTAGGGTTTAGGGTTTAGACTCTAGGATTAGGATTTAGGGTTTGGGGGTGAGGATTCAGTGTCTAGAGTCTAGAATGTAAGGTGTACAGGTGGTAGGGTATCTGCAAGATACAGATTGAGGAATCCCTATTGGAACTGTTCAAACATTTTTCTTGGATTAATCCCTGATATGTTCTGTAACTGTACCACTTCTGAATCACCAAGCTCCCTACTTGGTGGGTCAGGGACTAAGTCCCTCTGACCCTCCAAGTAGCGATGCCCGGATGTTGACAAACTATCATGCCCCCTAAACCCTAAACCCTCCTGATTTCCAACATGGAGGACTCAGTGTCCGCCGTGGATGCCGATGACAAGTGCAAGATTTACTGCAGCTGGGCACGGCAGGGGTTGGGGTTTAGGGTCTAGGGTTTGGGGTTTAGGTTTAGGGTTTAGGCGGTTTGGGGTTTAGGGGTGTAGGGGTTGGGGTTTA